CCCCCGCATGAATTTTGTGCACCAGGCCTCTAGTCTATACTAATAAAAGGGTAATATGCTAATTAGACCAGATAGACCAGATGTCTTCCGTCCGTCCTTCCAGACAAAGCCATAGTGTCAGGGGCCAAGGCAGAGCCTGTTAGGGGCAATCAGGCTGGCAGGGGAGAGCAGTTAGGGGTGATCAGGCCAGCAGGGAAGCAGTTAGGGGCATCAGGCAGGCAAGCAGAGGGGTTAGAAGTGATCAGGCAGGCAGGCAGAGTGGTTAGGGGTGATCAGGCTGGCAGGCAGAGTGGTTAGGGGTGATCAGGCAGGCAGGCAGGTGAGCGGGTAGGAGCCAGCAGTCCTGGATTGCGAGAGGGATGCCCAACTGCCGTTTTAGGCCTGATCATCCCCTGAGGGGTCCTGGATTGGAGAAGGTGCAGGCCAGGCTGAGGGACCCCACTCCCATGCACAAATTTCGTGCTCCGGGCCTCTAGTATTCTATATTTGCTGATCTGTGACCACAGCTTGGCTCACAGCCTCTGGCTGACGTTGTGTTTTAATCATTGCCCAACTTCCTGGAGCCCCAGGCAGAGTCATGGGAGGACAGGGCCAGCCCTGCTCAGGGGTCCAAGTCCAGGACGGGAGGGATGGGCTGCACAGGCTCTGGGAGGAGTGTGGTCCCCATCCCGCCCTCCACACCCTCCCGCAGAGGGAAGGGCCTGCTCTCCACTCAGGCCCCTGCTCCATACCCTGGGAACCCCCTTGTGTTCAGGGTCCCGGAAGCCACCCCTGGGGAGGGCGGGAGGTTCCTCACCTTTCTCTCCCCGTGGGCCCTTCTCCCCTCGGTCTCCTGCAGAGAGAGGAGGGTCAGCACAGGCTCGAGGAGTGGACAGGCTCATGCCAGACCCCGTCAGCCAAGAGGACTCGCTGTCCCCACCCTCCTGGGGCCGAGAGAGCCCAGGGCAGGGACAGGTCATGGGGCAAGGGAGCCGGGTCTCCTTTCTGTGCCGGGTCAGTGCTGGGCTGGGGTCAGGATCTGGCCTGGGCCCTCTGGGTGCTCTGGACACAGACCCAGGCCCTGGGTGAGGGAGCACGCTGTTGGGGGCAGAGTTAGGGTTAGGGTTAGGGATAAGGACAGGGTTAGGGTTAGGGATAAGGATAGGGTTAGGGTTAGTGTTAGGATAGGCATTAGGATAAGGTTAGGGTTAGGTTTAGGTTTAGGCATAGGGTTAGGGTTAGGGTTAGGGTTAGGGATTAGGAAAGGGCTACGGTTAGAGTTACGTTTAGTGTTTGGGATAAGGATAGGGGTAGAGTTAGGGTTAGGGTTAGGTATAAGCATAGACTTAGGGTTAGGCATAAGGATAAGGATAGAATTAGGGTTAAGCATAAGGATAGGGTTAGGGTTAGGATTAGGGTTAGTGTTTCGGATAAGGATAGGGTTAGGGTTAGGGTTAGGGTTAGGAATAAGGATAGGGTTAGGGTTAGGATAAGGATAGGGTTAGGGTTGGGGTTAGAGATAAGGATAGGTTTAGGGTGAGGGATAAGGATAGGATTAGGGTTTGGCATAAGTTTAGGGTTAGGGTTTTGAATAAGAATAGGGTTAGGGTTAGGGTTAGGATTAGGGTTAGGGTTTCGGATAAGGATAGGGTTAGGGTTAGGGTTAGGGTTAGGAATAAGGATAGGGTTAGGGTTAGGATAAGGATAGGGTTAGGGTTGGGGTTAGAGATAAGGATAGGTTTAGGGTGAGGGATAAGGATAGGATTAGGGTTTGGCATAAGTTTAGGGTTAGGGTTTTGAATAAGAATAGGGTTAGGGTTAGGGTTAGGATTAGGGTTAGTGTTTCGGATAAGGATAGGGTTAGGGTTAGGGTTAGGGTTAGGAATAAGGATAGGGTTAGGGTTAGGATAAGGATAGGGTTAGGGTTGGGGTTAGAGATAAGGATAGGTTTAGGGTGAGGGATAAGGATAGGATTAGGGTTTGGCATAAGTTTAGGGTTAGGGTTTTGAATAAGAATAGGGTTAGGGTTAGGGTTAGGATTAGGGTTAGGGTGAAGGATAGGGTTAGCATTAGGGTTAGGGTTAGGGTTAGGGTTAGGGTTAGGGATGAGGAAAGGTTTATGGTTACCATTAGGTTATGGTTAGAAATTTTTCCATGCGACACCCGGGAAGTGCCCTCCTCTCTCCCTGTCCCGGGGGTTGGGGGTCCTGCCCGGACCCTCCATGCTCTTTGCTGAGTTACCTTTGGGCCCGGGGGGTCCCGCCTTCCCAGGGACTCCTGCTGGGCCTGGTTCTCCTGCAAATTCAAACATGTCAGTGAGCAAACTACAGGACCATGGCACCTAGCACCCCAGATTCGACCCTCGAGAACCAGAGAGAGGGGACCTGGACCCCAGCCCTCTTAGTCCCCGCCGTCCAGTCAGAGGCCAGGACCTGCGACCAGGGGCCTTCCCAGGGGACCAGGCCCAAGCCCAGCTCTGCCCTCATCCGGGGAACCTGGGCGTTTCCATTGGCTGTGACTGCCGGGCCCGCTGTGGTCGCCCCTGGAGACAGGCCCCCCGGGATCAGCTGGGACCAGGGAGGACAGGGAGAACAGTCCAGCCGGTCCCCCCGCAGCAGGTGCGTCATCACCAGGAGCCGTGCTGGCCGCCCACACAGGCCCGGCTGCTCCGTGGGTGACCTGAGACCAGCTCCCTCCCACGGGGACCCACACCCCAGTGGACCAAGCCCCAGGCCCCTCCTGAGACCTGCTGGGGGCCCTGCCTTGTCGGGTCTCACTGGGCAGGGACGAGGCCCAGCCCCCCTCCTCGAGGAACTCACCTTTCCTGCCCTCGGCGCCTGCCTCTCCCTTGGGCCCCGTGGCCCCGGGCAGCCCTGGGCAGCCCCGGAGGATGGTGAGCTTGTCGGCCTCCAGCCCCAGCACCTTCACTTCTGCAGAGAAGCGCGGGTGCCCGTCAGGGTGAGGACCTGGGCCGCTCCCCCCCCCACCCCCACCCCAAAGGACCTGCCACCCTGGG